TGGGAATGTTGAATCTTGAATCCCAGAATTGTTGAATACTTTTAAACATTTCTGGACTCAAGATTCAAGAAACTGAGGAAATCATTTCTGGGAATCTTGAATCCCATGTTGTTTAAACAGGGTTGGCCCCATACTCTCGGTGGTCAAGAAGATTCTCGAAAAAGTTTTTCGTGAAATATTTCAATCGCGAGTCTTCAATCCCGTGGCAAAACAAGTTTACCACGTTCGAGGTGTTAGAACAACTTGAACATTTTTAGGGATTGACCAGGATGGATGATTCTCAGGAAAGTTGTTAGCGCACTCCTCAAATATTAAATCCTCAATCCAGTGAAGCACTTTCAAGTGTTAGAAGAACTTGAATGTCGGTTGGGTTTGGCCAGGATTGACAGTTCTCGGGAAAGTTTTCTGTGCAATCTTCAATCTTGAATCTTCCATCCAGTGGTAAAATACTTTCAAGTGCTTAGCGATCCAGTGGAAACACTTTCAAGTTACTGGATATATAGACAAATTTTCAAGTGCTCTTGGTGAGCTTCATGTCAGCTATGCTCATGTTGACCCTTTTTCCAGGAGGTAAACAAAGGTGGTGTCATGCTCAAAAACACTGTATTTTACAGTATTTTAGGAAGAGCTTAAATACAACTGATTTAGCTAGAACCCCTGTTTCGAGATAGTTTTAGAACTTGAACCTCTCTTCCCTTTGGAACACCGTCTAACAAGTTCAATGTTGGACCGTTCTTATGCTCCAAAAGGGCCAGAATGTGAATAGCACAATCGTATTTTGAGTTTCCTTTTAGAAGTCCCTTAATATGAACTATATTTGAGAAGTAGTCTCTATTTAATTGTTATTGTGAAAAGCTGATTGAATTGTGTTCGTATTAGATTATATTTAACACTTAGATTGCATTTGGGAATAAACTCCTATCTAACTTCTTTTGGTACAGATAGTTTACCCGAAACTATACTTTCATTTTCATGTAGCTCCTATTTGGAAAGGATTTGCATAGTTAAGCTGTAATTGAACATAAACACATTTTTTGAAAACTGTATCCTTACTAAGCTATATTCAAAATTCCAATTCTAGTTGAAGTAAAATCCGATTTGGAAAGCGTATCATATTGGGACATTGTGGAGGACTCCGGGCTCCAAATCAGGCTTTGGGGACCCACAATTGGAAATTTCGAGATTATAAATTTTGAGATTCTAGATTTGCCATCCCGAAAACAAGCAGTAAAACCAGGGTCCATGGGTGGGGTGGGGGGGGGGGGGTAGCACATATATATATATATATGTATATATATACACAAATGGTTTATCCTTGGGCCGAGGCAAGGTTTGGTCAAAACTCGCCAGTCTATTGTCAAAGGAAAACCAACAGAGATGCGTAGCTTTTGAAGCTACACGGATGTGTGTGTGTGTGTGTTGAGAAGATAGAAGTCGTTTGTTCACAAGGAAGCCAAAGGGGTGTTTTTTGTGTTCAAGAACACCAAAAGGCACGTGTGCTTCTCCAAGGAAGCTAAAAGTGACATGTACTTTGTGGAACCAGGGGCCCCGGGTCCAATTTGTGGCTGGTTTTGGATTCTTCCAAACCTCTAAGGATTGACAGTGCCATTCTTTTCAAGCATCGTTCTTTTCAAAAACCGATCGCTGTTTCCCCAGGGTTTTGGGTGTAAAAAGATTTGGATGGAATGGACATGGAAGGTACCCTATACAAACCAGGTCCTCCAGCAGAGAGGGTAGAATAAGGGTGCAGTTGTTTTTCTGCAATATGGAGGGTACCCTATACAAACCTGTCTTCCTCCATTCCTTGGAACCTCCAAAAGTGGGAAGTCTCAATGGACGCCGGTGAATTCAGGAGCTTTTGGAACCATGTCCCGCGAGATCGAGGCCCTAAATCCGGTCCGATTCAATTCCGGGCATTGAGGGCATAGGGGGCAAACGAAGAATCCTGTTCAATAGGCAAGACATTGATATCCTTCGAGTTTGTTCCGATGCTCGCCCCTTTGCGTTCAAAATCAAGCCTGCTACAAAAGAGGGTGCACTTTCCCACACACTGAACTACTTTCCTTGGTCTCTCCAGTGTCTCCCAAGGTTTTGCCAGGGTGAATAGGAGAAAAACACTGAAATGCAAACCGCATGAGTTTTGGAAGAGTTTCCAGGCGAGTAATCAGGCAGATGGAACCCAATTGTGGCCCAGTGTGTTTGGGTTTTTAGTGTGTTCTAATTGACCTGTTAGTTGGCTATGCTAACGTGTCGCAAGCTCACACGTTCGAAGGCCGTGGCCACACGCACGCGACCCAACGTGGCGCCCTCAGTCCAGCAATCGATCGAGATCGTTTTCGCTTCCCGAGGAAAACGTGCGAATCGTGTTTTGTCGACCGCGAGTATCCGAAAGGAGCTGCGGTTGCGGCCGAAGTTCCTCATGAAGACTCCAGCTTTCCAACGATGACGTTTTGCTTGGTCGAGAAGTTGGACCCGCGGGTCAAGAGGCTTTGCCTCATGGGAGATGGAACAATGAGCAGTTCCGCTTCCTTTCGTCGCTGACTCGAACAGAGGAACCCGCAAAAAGACATGCCCTGGCCAATGGCCCGAGGGAGTGATGCCGTCACATCACTTTCATTCAGGCGCTGAAAGTTAGTAGTAGCCATGATCAAGTCCAGTGGGAAGCATAGCTTGATGCAAATAGAACTTTAAATCACTGAATCTGTGATGGGTTTCCATATTACTTGATGTTACAAGGTGTGAATAGTTCTGTTTTTTCTAAGGCTAAGTCTCAACCCACCTTATAGTCTGAACTGGTATTGACCCCCCTACAAGCATGAAGCGATTTTGCAAGCAGGGCAAGCATGCCCAGGTTGTCCAACTGGACGCTGCAACAAATTGAACTGTTTGTGGAAAGCCAAGCTGAGTTTGGTCAAATCGATGTACCGTAACCCAAGTGAAAGGGCATCCCTTTTGAATCAGATTTCTCGGGTTGCCAGAGCCCAAAGACCCCAGACCCAGACGTTCCAAGAAACGGGTTGTTTTGTTGCTCCACTGGATTGTCCTCCACGGGTTTTAGCATGTGATTGTACCTTTGGTTGTTAGCTTCATTTCGCCGTGTCCTGTTTGAGGGTACCCCTTTCTTCCGGTCTTTAAGGGACACCAACAAGGAGAACCCCACCATGTTTCGCAGGCCCCTTCAACAAAACACACACACACACACACCATTTGTTGGAGTCCCCTGAAAAAAAGAGAAACCACACCCACACACACACACACACACACACACACACACACACACACACACACACACACACACACACCACTTGGGGGGAAAAAAAAAAACGGTCCAGCGGCTTGCTTACGGCGTCGGAGAGGTGATCCTCCAGTCCGTGGCCCTGCGGCTCTGGGAGCGCGGCCGGCGAGCCATGGAGTGCCTCGAGGTCCTCGAGCTCCTCCAGCGGCTTGGGGCGGCTCCCGCGGCTCGCGGCCTCGAGCCGAAGCCTTCGGCTTCCGCGCGGCGGCCAAAAAACGGTTTGCCCGTCAAAGACAGGTTTGTTGTTTTTTGTTTGGGGGGGGGGGGGGGGGTTGGGACGGGTTGGGGAGTTGGGGTGGAGGGGGGAGGGGGGAGGTTGGGAGGTTGGGGGTTGAGGCAGGGAGGGGACGGGAAACATGTGTTTTTTTCTTTTTGCCTTTCCTTCGAAGTTGTGGGGGGGGGGGGGGGAGGGGAGAACGATTTGTTCGGCGCTTCCTTCCAAATTAGTGGGGGGGGGGGGGCGATTTATTTAGTGTTTCCTTCAACAACCGGGAACAAACAACTTTAGGTGTTCGAACCCCTGGAGACCACCAAGACAAACCACGCTTCGCAGGTCGGGCTCTGAGCATGGCAAACAAAGAAGCAACGAAACAACGAGGCAAAGAAACAAACCGAAGAAACATCAGAAACAAAGAGGAAGAAAGAAGAAGCAAGACAAAAAGGAAAAGCACGGACGCAAACAAGCCAAAGCACGCCCTTCTTGCACAGGTGTTGATTCCAACTCCGGGCTGGTTCGGCCCATTTCGGCAGCCCCCCTTTGAGTCCAGCCACTTCGAGGACCCGTGGGGGGTTCCATTTGGTTCTCCCTTGAAAGCCACAAAAAGAGGGGGACCCTCAAAAAAAACGACACCCGCAAGTGGCGGTCTTTTTTTTTAAGAGGAGAAGCTTGCGAAATGGGCGCGAAAGCGAAAGCGCCTTCGCTCAGAAGAGTTGAAGTTGCTGACGGCGGCGCTCGATGCTTTTGTGCGCCCAGCTGGTGTTTGCCCTTCTCCCGGTTTAGCAAAGAGCTGGTCTAGGTCCCCCCGTTGAGCCCTTCTACCCTTTCTTGGGGGAGACTAAAATAGACTACAGGAAAAAGGGTACCCTTATTCGAACCTCTCTACTGGAGGACCCATTGGTGATAAGGGTTTCCTGCACTAAGGGCGGTGTCCCATGAGCCTTTCTAAAGATCAGGTGCAGGGCAGTTCCTCTCAAACATCCCAAAAGGCTTCGCTGTTTTGAGACGGACCTAAATTGGTGCAAGCGAATATACGTCCGAACCCCTGTTTTGGCAAATGCAGGCCCCTCGCTTTCGCACTGTTTTTTGGCCTCAGGTAGTGCAGAAGTGGGTATCCAGTCCATGTTGGACCCAACAGCATTTAGACGACCAGCTCTGAATCTGCTGGGTTGACGGCGAGTTGGGCGTAGATTCTCATGTCAGACTCGACGCACCCGCAAAGCGCCCCTCGCTCTCGCAGCCCCTTTTGGTTTCGTCCGACCATGGCAATCCTTGCACATACGGCTCGGAGGGTGATCGGTTTAGACGCCGTGATGGAGATATCAGAGTGGGCATGGAAGGATTCGAATGGATCAGCTTAGGTCTCTTTACTCAGCCAGAGTGTTGACCACAGACACATCTGTCGGACACATTCTGAGAAAGTCGATTGGCTACCCCCACACCCAACACCGACGGGTTCGGTTGAAAGCAAGAGCTCCTTCGGCATACAGGCATTAATCACGCAGGCCAGAGCCTATCGCGCGATGGATGCGAACTTCGGATCGCAGTGCAGGACACACTTGCTTTCCAGAAACGAGCCAAGGCGACACCAAGAATGTGTTCCTCATGTGTCCTGAATGGCTATACCTTTAAAAAGTCCTGAATGGCTATACCTTTGAAGAGAGCAACAGAGCCAGTCCCCAGATCCACCGATGGCCTGCCGGGCGGGCTCAAGCAGACGAACGCGCGGGAAACTCACCGCTGGCCTGAGTGAAATTGATGACGATCGATCGAGCTAGGCCAACTCACTGAGTCAAGAGACATGGCTGTGGGTCAAAAATAAGGCCCCCAAACAGAACCCTGGTAAATGGAAACATCGTCTAAAACCTGCGCTCCCGTGGTATAACTTTGACGCATACCCACATGGAAACTTACCAAGGATCTACCTCTCAGTGAAGAGACATCCTTGCAAAGCTTATGGCCAAGGATCTAGCTCCCTGCGTCTGGGCATGCTGTCCAACTGGCATGTCAGGAGCGCTCGGCCGCGGCGCGGGGATTGGCCGCGGCCGTCATGCCGAGGCAGGTGAAGAGGGTGGGTTCAGCACACAAAGCAAGACGACGACCAAAAAATATGGGGGGGGTACCACGGAGGAGGTCTCACAAACCATTTACAACGCAACACCGGGGACTCGCCCTTCCAAAAAAAAGACAGAAACAGGATAGAGCCCTTTAGTCACGAGTTGCTTCTTCTAGATTCATCCAGACTCAGTTGCCTCAAGGTGCTCCACAACCTGCGCTTTTCTGAAATGGCCATGGGTCAAAATCCCGTACCCCCAGTGAATATCCCAATCCCCACTAAAATAGGTTCTAAAATGGGTGGTGCACCTACCCCAAAACGGGATCCCATTGGTTTTGACCCACAGCCAAATGAGTGTCTCTCAAAACGGCAGACCACTTTCTGGTTGGTGAGAGAGGAACCAACAGAAAACCTGCTCCGCGTTTGGTTGCTTCAAGGGACGCCACCCATTTTAGGCGGCGCATTCCTATGTTGCCGCGGGTCTGTGTTTAAAAAAGGACCCGCAAAATGATGGCTATCCTTTTGGCATCCCTTGAAACCACCGCCAAAAAGGGTCGCACTTAAAGCATACACACCGCATGGGGGTTTCTAGGGGCCTCTTCAGGTGGTCGGTTCGCTATTGACACAGCTGGCTCCGCGCAACGCGCAAGGCGCCCAGTTGCGCCGCATGGAAAACAGCAGCAGCGCTGCTTTCCGCAGCCCAGCAAACGGCGGGGTTCAAAATCCGCCGGGTTTGAATGATGCGGCCTGGAAGTGTCTTAACATCGGGGACCCCCCAAAAAAGGATTTCGGGCTGCCTTGTGGCTTCCCTTTAAGCCACGGAAAAGGGGTACCCTCAAAAACATACACACGAATATGTTGACGGTGTGCCGTTCTTGAATTGTGTGTTTTGACGTGTGTGTTTACTTGTGATAAATCATGTATGCCACGTGAGTCATTGAGCTACATTGTATTGCCTTGTATTACATTGTATTACACTGTATCGCATTGCATGTCATTGCAATACATACCACTGCATTTTAGTGCATTGCGCTGCATTGCATGGCACTGTCTAGCATTGTATATCATTACAACGATGATTTTCTTGCGGGCGTCTTGGATTGAATCCCCAAAAACCAGGGATCATTATATTATACCCCTGAATATTGCCTTGTAAATTGTGGTTTCCCTTTATTTTGGTGTGGAAAAAGCCATGTTTCAAATGGTTGCAACAACATGTATCCTTAAAGGAATCCCTGATATATATATATATATACATATATATATATATATATATATATATATATATTTGTATATGGCAACGATGTTTTTCTCACCACTCGGCCCCCCTTCCAATCCCCAAGCGCTTTACGCACGCACGCACGCACGCACGCACGCACGCCCGCACGCCCGCCCGCCCGCCCGCCCGCCTTCCCGCGCGCGCGCCCGCGCCCCGCGCTGCCCGCGCGCCGCGCCCGCGCCCGCCCGCCCCGGCCCCCCCGCCCGCGCCCCGCCCCGCCACGCCCGCCACGCCACGCCACGCGCCACGCCACGCCACGCCACGCCACGCCACGCCACGCCACGCCACGCCACGCCACGCCACGCCACGCCACGCCACGCCACGCGCCAATGACCCCTTAGTTTGTCTTGCTCCAAAAAGAAGACGATGAGTCAATAGAACAGGGTCCACCTAGTGTCCATAAGCTTCGCCTGTTGAATTCCTTTCGGGGCAATCAAACTAGAAGACGGGTGGCCCAAAAGCATTTTCCATGACACGCAGCCTGAATCGGTCCATTTTCCCACTATGCATTTCACTGTCTACTCTGTGCCATTTCACTGTCTACTTTCCCTGCGCATGCATCTATGCACTTCACTTGTTCCTTGCCAGAGTTACAGTTGAGAGGTGGGTGGGAAAGAGTGTCTGCAAATATGGACCCTCAAAATGCTCTATTTAACCCCCCCTTCCCCTAAAAGCCTGAAACAAATTGGCACACCCTTAGTAGGGCGGCCACCAGAATTGTCCTACAGGGCGCCCAGCGGGACATCGTGAGCCTCAACCGCGCCTTGAACGTGAGCCCCTGGAGGTCTGCCACGGCACTTTGCTCCGCCGAAAAACTCCGCGGCCTGCGGTGGTCGGCCACCCGGCGTGCGGCGTGCGGTCATGGGCTGGGGGCAATGGGAGTGCAGGGTCTTCGGGATGCCACTTGTTACATCGTGCGGGTCTCCGAAATTGGTTGTTATTTGGGGTATGGACTGAATATGGGTCTTTGTCTTTTTTAGGGGAAACCTTTTTTGGCAGGTTTTTTGAGACACATCCAAGGAAAACCACGAGTGTGCCTTTGGGGGAAGAGGTCGGTTTTCAAGGCAAAAGGACCCTAACTTTGGGACATCGTTCGGACCACCGAATGGATTTGGGCACAATGTAGCAGCCTCACATTTCGGGTGCAGCCGACAACATCATCAAAGGTGAATTGTAGCAGCTTGCCCGGACAAGCAGCAATGGCATTGATGGGTAGAAGGTTGTTGTATTTTTGTTGCCCAAAGACATCAAGTGGAAAAATCACGATTTTGTCCGCGATTTGAGCCCTTATTAAATCACTCGTAGTTTGTATTTCGTGGACATGACGAACACACGCTTAGACTCCCGAGTGAGAGAGCCAATCAATATCGAGTCATCGCATTGAGCAGGGAATTGGGATCATTGTGGGCATGCTTCAAGTGGCTTCCCGCTAGGATCGAAAGCGCTACAAAGTCCAACATACAGCACAGCCGAAACCAAGGGGGCAGGTTGCAAGGCTGATCAGGCCTCGCTTTCCACTCTCCGGTTGCGTGTGGTAGAATGAGAGTGCCACACGCCCCAGGAAGTAAGTGGAACTCCGCACGCGCACGCGCACACACACACACACACACACACGCAGACGCAGACGCAAACGCAGACGCAGACGCAGACGCAGGCGCAGACGCAGACGCAGACGCGGGCGCGGGCGCGAGCGCGGGCGCGGGCGCGGGCGCGGGCGCGGGGCGCGGGCGCGGGCGCGGCGCGGGCGCGAGCGAGGGCGCGGCCGCGGGCGCGAGCGCGGACGCGGACGCGGACGCCGACCCACACACACACACACACACACACACACACCAGCCACAATTGGGTGTGTAGATGTTCAGATTCTAGGCAAGCTCCTTGCAGAATGAGGCAGTCAAAGATTCTGGGGACGCCCTGTTCCAGTGATTGGTTGTCATTCATGCGGAATGCTGCCCCTACCTCAATTACCAAGCACTTTGCCTGTACGTTCCAAGCTCACCCTACTTGGAAACGCCGCAAGTGCCATGCGTGTGTTTCTCTGGCAGATTTATTCCAAGGATGCTTGTCGAGCATCCACATTGTTGTGGATGGACATCCAAGGTTCCATTTCCAACAACAGAGTCGCCACCCGGTGGCTGAAAGAAGGTGTCCTCCATTTCCCTTTTTGGAGCCTCGTTTCAATGGAAGCCACGAGCGTCCATCGCAACCTTTGATCGGAAATCCGGCGACGCCTGAGTCCTTTGCCGGGGCCAATGGGTTGGTAGAAATCCTGTGAACAGTTCGCCCCGGGCTCAAATCTGTAAAAGCCACGGAGATTTACTTCTACATATAACTCACTGGGACTCAGACAATATCCACATGTGGGGGTGGACATCCAAGCCCAAGCCCCTTCATACCAAGAAAGGGTCACCTGGCTGTGGGTCAAAACCAATGGGATCCCATTTTGGGGTAGGTGCACCACCCATTTCAGTCTATTGTAGTGGGGATTGGGATGTTCGCTGGGGGTGAGGTCAACGGAAACCAAAGAAAAACTGGCTTCAGGCTGTGACCTTCTGCACCCTGGGCCGCCTCCTCGCTCCGGCCGGAGCCGGAGCCGGCGCCTGGGCGCGTGCGCTGGCGCTGATCCACCAGATCCGCCAGCGGAACGTGGAGCATTCCGCCGCTTCGGCGTGGGTTTGCCGCGGCAAACCGGGGGCGTTTTTCGGGTGGGACAGGGAGGAGGGGAACGACCCATGTGAACCCCCCAAAAGGAGGATTTCCTGTTGGGTTCCTTTGTAGATTGAGTGAGGCGGGTCAAGCCTAGAGGGAATGCCTGACTTTGGGGCAAACACCCCGTCACCGCTTTTACCCTCTCTTTGAGGCGTGGGCAGGAAACTACCAGACAATGTTTGCAGTAGCCATCCACTAACGTTGGGAAGTGTTGCTTTCCTGGGGCTAAACAAAGAGGACATCTGAACAAACGTAGCGTGGATCTCTAACAGGTCGTGTCATGTTGGATTGTTTTCGAGGAACCACTCGAACAGCTTAAATTCCAAGTTTGGGCTCACGTGCTTCTAACTATGTGATGAGTTCCATTTCGATATGGCCAAAGGCCCCAGCGAACTGTTTGGTTGGTCAAACTTCCCCTACAAACGACCTCTAGGCCGAAAGGGATAGACCACGTGTTTCCGAGATCAACACACTTGAAATATACACTCCAGACCTACTTGACACGTACTCAAGTCATGAATATATGGGTCAACATTGCACGAGTCGGGAAGGATGGATGAAACTCTACGACTGGGGTAAGCCATCAATCACAACTGGTGCCCCGCTGGCTTTCTCCAAAGGGGGTGTCTGAATCATAGAAACCATCTTCAATACCGTTCTTTGTTCTACAGGACATCATTTAAGCCAACGCAGGAAACGTTGTTCCTGTCGGATTTTTCCGGCGTTGGTTTCTTAGACGTCCGGGTGTCTCTTCTCAGGTGGTTGCTGAGGGCACCGCCGCCGGAGCCTTCCAAACCTGGAGCAAAGCTCAGCAGGTCTTGGAGGAATGCACCCAGAAGGCCGAAGGGAGGGCTAGGTGAGTCATCAAACTCGCATTGGGGTCCTTTACTGGTTTAATTTGCTTAGAAATAGATGGGTTCCACTGGTGTGGCTGGGTTTTGCAAGCCCCATGTACCAGGAAACCCATCAAGTTGTCCACAAGGCCACCTATCAAAGCCCGGGTAGGAAGTTAGGACAAGAATCCCAAGCAGTGAGTGCAGCCGCCGTCAATGAGTTCCTCACATGGTTCTGGGTAGACCATTTGGACCCAGAAGCCGCCGACTGGTCTGCCATTTACTAGGGTCCTTGTATTAGCTTGGGATTGTTGAAGTCAAAGAGGGGTGGTTATTCTTTACCCCAGGGGTGATAGTAAAATCATGAAGCCAGCACGAAACTCCAAGGGCGTCAAAAGGGACATGGTTGGTTGTGTTCTTTGGCTGTAAGAACGCGGCCCCAAAAAAGGTTTATAGTTCTGACACATGCCCAAGTCCATTTGAAGGGTCTTTTTCCATGGAGCAACTTTGATGGCCAATGATTAGGATCGACGTCTGAAATTGGCGCAGCCGGTTTCCAGGTGTTTGTCCTGTGACAAACATGCATCGTCTGTTGAATCTCAGTTGCTGAATGACGGCAATGTATCAAGTACAGAATTGGGAACCAGATCCCCCTTGTGGGAGGGTTCCCCTACTAAATAGACTACAGAAAACAAGGGTACCCTTGTTCTAACCACTCTACTGGAGGATCTAGGGAAGAATCACAACTCGCGTCTTCGCAGGCACCTCTTGGCCAGAGAACCCAAGACTCTGCCCACGGCCAACCTTCGAACCTTCAGCCACTCAAGTCTAGCAAGCCGTTCCCTCAAGAAACCTCTGGTTCAATCGGAAAATTGGGGAATGGTCAAGTCCTCCAGGTAGGTGTCCTCTTCATTTTCCTCTAATACCTCATCTAAGGGGTGGGGTGGCTTCAAGGGACACAAAAGGGAAAGCCGAAATCCATTTTGGGGGTCCGAGTCCCAATTTTAAGACACACCTAAACATGAACCCCTATGAGCTGTTGGTTTGGTTCGAAGAAAAATGCCGCAGGACCTGCAGCGGAGCAGCGTGCTGTGTGGCATTGCCATCAGCGCCTGTGAATGGAAACGAGCCCTGGCCTTGCAAGGCGTGGCGCTTTCGCGGAGCTTCGGGCGCGGAGCCTTTACGCGCGGTAAGACGCCAAAGCGAAGGTCCGGGAGTTCCTTAGAGTCCCTCTCGTGTCCTTGAGCTTGAGAGCTCTGTAGATCACAGCTGGCCGTGTGCGGGGGTCAACGCACGGGAGACTGCCGCGAATGCCAAAGCAAACCCGAAAGGTCGAGGGATGGGCATCAAGAAGCCGACACCAAGTGGCACCGTCCGTGGCTTTGCCAAAGCGCTCAATGCGAGTCGAGAGACATTGCGAGGAACCCTTTGCCATTCCAATGGGAGTGTTTGTTGTGAGTGGCGAAAGGGTAATGGTGCGTTCGGCCCAATGAAACGTCGGGCAAAAGCAGTCAAAACAAAATAGTTTGACAAGGGAAACAGGTTTTGACAACACCTCATCGTCGTGATTCTTCGCGGGTGCCCCTGAGCGTTGCGTTTCAGCTGGCGCATAGTTTGAAAATTAGTTCGTTTGGGGTGCCGGATCAGAGATGCAGTCGTGCTGAAGCATGTTTTTTGTTTCAACTGCAGGGAAGGTCAGCCTTGCGCACGTGTGCCTTCAAGTCTGCGCCTGCTCCTCTTGCAATGTTTTAGTTTGGGTGGTTCCTCCTTCCCTGCATCCGCATGCTGTCGGTAGATAGTATGGACAGAGTTTGAAATGGATGTCTGCTTGTTGGGAGTTTCTCGCGATAATGGATCCCCTTGTACTCGTTAGTCTTCCCAAGCAAAACCAAAAGGACCCCGATTTTGAGAAACGCTCAGTTAATCAGCAAACCGAACTACTCCAGGAGCACTAGTGTGGTGTTTCTCAGTTGACCCTCAAGAGGTGCGTCTTACTTTTGTCTCGAAAAGCCCAACCGCAATCCACTGTCGCTGGGAGAACAGGCGAACACTTTCCCAACGTGGACTTGGGTGAAAATCTGGACCGTTGCCCAATGGGCTCAGTTGTTGTAAGGCTTAACCTGATTGGTGCTTTGCTTTGGTGGTTTGGACGGGTTGCCTTCCCCATTTGGAGACGGGGTTCAACCCAAACCGCAAATCCAAGCCACCAACTCAGGACCTGATTCGCAGGCCGACAGCTTGAGGCAGCAGTGGGCACAAGCAACCAGCCCGTTTACGTGAATGGGAAACCAAACCAAAATTGCGACAAAACTGCAGTGGTTTACTTGGCTGGCTTTTGGCTGGACAGATCGCACATGGGCAAGTGGTTGTCTATGTTACCAAAAGACACCGGCTCCATGTAGCCAGTTTTGCATGTTTCATCGTTTCAAGCAAGTTCCCCCCCACCGCCAACGGATCGCAAGCTGGCGGGGTCCGTGTCGCCAGATTTCGTTGAAGGACTCGCGGGGCAGAGCGCCACCTCCAACCGCGCCACCAGCAATGCGGCCCTCAGCTCCTCGGCGGGGTGCTTTGACCTAAATCTATTTGGGCGTGGCTCAGTAAACAGCTGGGGGTTACGCGGGTTTTAGTCTTGCTTTCGTATACAAAGGTGCCATTTTGGGTGCCACTTTTTGTGTCCGACATGGGAAACTGATGAGTTAGCGACCTGGGGGCCGTGAAAAACCTTCTGGAAGATTGGTGAGCTGAACACGCACTTAACCTACAGAACAATGATTGGCGGGCGAACCGCGAAGACCTTGAAACCCCATGGATGATTGGTTAGAGACCTGAACAATTTCTTCCAGGCGCTCACTTCAGTGATTCAGGTTTTATGCTTATGTTTGATGAGGGATCAAGGTAGCCAGAAGGCATGTGAATAGCCTGGAGGTACAAACAAGGTATGTCCAAAGAGGAGTGGGAACTTTGGTAGGCTGTCCTCTATGAGGTTCGGTTTGAACACGAGGCCACAATTGGAGCTGCCCCCCTTAGAGAGAATCCGCATGGCTTGAAGATAAGGTGTACAGACATGGGTCTTCAACTGCCAGCGGGTCTGAGAAGGGGCAACTTGCACCACCCTTGGGGCACACCAACATACCACATTGGATAATCGGACATTCTGAATTGGAGATTCCAAACAACCTTGACAAGGCTTGGCCCTCACTGCCACAGTTTCTGGGCAATCCTGTAAACATAAGTTGTGGCCCAATTGAGGAACTTCTTGTCAACTACCGCCAAGAAGCCTCCCTGCAAAGCATTCGGGTGTCACCCTCTCGGCCAAACAGCTCTATGGCACTTTGACAGCAAGCTAACAACAGTTGTTGGTCAACAACCCCTCCAGTTGCTTCTCTGGCGACATTTCAGGGGGTCTCTCCCCTGGTCCCTCATGTTGAGCCATTCCAATCTTGAGGCACGTAAGTTTATAGACTCCAGCGGTGGGGTCGCCGTTCAGTTCCAAAAAGTGCCCTGTGGCACACCTTTCTCTGCAGGATAAACGTGCTTCCCTTTGCTTAAATATGTTTTATTCTCCCGTGTCGGTTTCCAAGGGTAACCTATCACTACTCAACATGTGTTTCTTTTTTTGCAGGGGACTCAAGCAGAAGGAGGCATGGTGCGCAAAAAGCCCATCATGTCCAGAAGTGCCTTGGGCGCTCTTTTCCGAAAAGCCATGGGGTAGGTGGCTTTTGGCGTTTCCGGAGTTTTTATGGATACGGAGCAGGGATCCTTGGGCTTGAAGTGGAGCTCCCATGAGCGGAACCAGTTACCCAAGTTATCATGGCAATGCGGTTCAAACCAACTTACACGTTGAACATCCAGCTGGATCACCCCGAAACCCAGCAATTGTTGCTTGCTTCCACGCGCTAAACGCGTCGTGTTTCGCACGCGTCTCTCGCAGGCGCGGCCGCGGCGGGGCGGCGCTGGCGCGCGGGCCTCGCGCTGGCGGGCGACGGCCTGGTGAACTGCGGCGCGCGGCTCGGCGCCTGCCAGGGCCAGTGGCGCAAGGCGCGGAGGTCGCGGAGGTCGCGGAGGTCGCGGGCGGCGGAGTGGGCCAAGGGGATCGTGCGCCCGTTTTTTTTTTTTTTTGTTGTTGTGTTTTTTTCAACACTCCTGCAGGGGGGTTCTGACAAGACTCAGAGGCATAGGGTCCTTTTTGGGTTTGTTTGATTAAAAATAGAGGGCACTGGTTTAGTTTTTTTTTGCTATTGACCAGGGCCAACTATGCTCGGAGGTGGATTAAAAGGGGAAGCATCCCGGCGAATATCCAAGGACCGGGGAGCTTGTTGAATTAGAACAGTGATAGTCTTTCAAGGCAAAGCAAGAGGAGATGTTTTTGGTCGTACCAGCGTTTGGTGGAGTTGTTGGTGACTGTGGGCTAGAGTCGTGTAGTAGTTTTGGCGGGGGCTTTGTACGGGTGTGGGTCGAGCGCAGGTCGAGGCCAGCATTTTGCGCATGGATGCTCCATGCCCAGAATACGAAGAAGTGTCGCGTTGCACGAGGATGCTTCATTTTCGTGAGGGATGATGCATTGCATTTCACAATGGAGGTCAGACAGACAAACAAACTGACAGACAGACAAACAAACAAACTGACAAACAGAACAGAATAGAACAGAACAGAACAGAACAGAACGACAAACCGACAAACAAACAAACAAACAAACAAACAAACAAACAGACAGACAAACAATCACACAAATAGGAGAAAGAAAAAAGAAGCACACAAACACGCAAACAAGCAAGCACGTCGGGCACCCGGTTGTGTCGTGCATGTTTGAGTTATTTTGAATTTGTTGGGTGTTCGGGGTCTCTACACATAAGCATCAGCACGCTCATGATAAGAAACGCGCTCACGCGCATCCACAACCGCACCCATGCCGGCACAAATCATAATAAACCCGCTTACGCGCATCCACAACCGCAACCATTCTGGAGCAAATCATAATAAACACGTTTACGCGCATCCACAACCGCACCCATGCAGGAACAAATCATAATAAACACGCTTGCTCGCATCCACAACCGCACCATCCTGGAACAAATCATAATAAACACGCTTGCTCGCATCCACAACCGCACCCATGCTGGCACAAATCATAATACACACGCGTACTCGCATCCACAACTGCAGCCATGCTGGCACAAATCATAATTAAGACGCTTGCGAGCACAACCGCACCCATGCAGGAACAAAACATAACAAACACGCTTGCTCGCATCCACAACCGCACCCATGCTGGCACAAATCATAATACACACGCGTACTCGCATCCACAACTGCAGCCGTGCTGGCACCAAATCATAGTTAAGACACTTACGCGCACAACCGCACCCATGCTGGAACAAAACATAGTAAGCACTTTTACGCGCATCCACAACCTCACCGATGCTGGCACAAATCACAATAAACACGCTTACCCGACACAACCGCTGCACCCGTGCCAGCAGCACTTGGAGCATGGCGCACTGGGTGTGCAACTTTGGGATGGCCGAAACGAACTAGTTAATTGAAATTATGTTTGAGTTGTTGCTTGATAACATCTGCTGACGTCGTAGGCCTGCGCAGTGAATTGAGAAGGTGCGCCGCGTGAATGGCGCCGCGCCTCACGGCTGTGTGACCTGTTTGTTTGTTGGTTTGTGCCTTCTTGGGTTCTGCGTTAGCAGCTTTGTAAGTTTTTGTTAAAGTTTCTATAGCGAGGATTCCTTAACGCTTGACAGAGATAGGTAATAAGATTCTTCTTTCAAGGCGGGTGGGTGGGTTGTTGTCATTGCACGGGATTGCGACCCTCTGCGGGGACTGGCGTGGTCGATGTCAAAAAAAACAGGGCTTTAACATGCCCGCGTGACCCTTTGCGGGGATCGGCGTGGTTGATGTCAAAAAGCTGAGGACGTTTTACGATTCTGCGGTTTACTTTTCGTATTACTAAAAGCAATACGCACTGCGAGGAAAAAGCAAAGTGAAGCGAAGTGAAGCACAAAGCTACACAGCTACAGTAAGCAGAGTGGAGTAAAGAAGGCAATTCAGTAGAGAAAAGTATTGCAAAGAGCAGCAGCAGAGTAATGTAAGTTGAAATGACGGGACGTAAGGTGAATCTGGCGTTGGCCGAGTGGCACCCAGCAGCAATCACTTCTACTTGAATGCAAGCAACAAAAGCTCATTTCAACTTGAAGCCCTGCTGCTTGCAAACCTATAGAACTGAAATTGTGTTTACCTTCAGGATTTCTTGGGCTGTCCTTGAGTTTTCAATAAACTGCAGCCCCTACGCTGCAAACAACTCAAGTTGTCCATGACACAGACCCAGAAAGCCTGCAGACCCCATGGGCGTGGGGACATGGGGTCTGCAGTGAGAACTAGAGGACGATTGGCATAGAAGGCCGGCGTGCTGAATTGCTCTGCAGTAGCTCCTTTCGAGTGCCTACACGAGCTGCTTCGCGCAAGTTGCTATTGTGACACTGTTTGCGCACGCGTGCTCTGTACAAGTCTGCACGTCCATCTCTGCGAGTGCTCTGCGCATGTTGCTTTATGCAAATTGCCCTGCGCAAATTCTGCGCGCAAGACATTCTCTGCAAGTTGCTCTTTGGAAGTGCTTTGCGCGGGTGCCTTGCGCACGTTGCTCTGAGCAAGCGCTCTGTGCAAGTTGCTCTACGCATGTCTGCAAAATGCTCTGTGCAAGAATATTCTGCGCAAGTCGCCCTGCGCTGGTTGCCCTGTGCAAGTCTGCACGTCGCTCTCCGCGAGTGCTAGTTTCGATTTGCTGCGGCGACACGCTTCGCGTACTACTTTCCATCCGGAGCTGCGGGGAGCGAGTGACAAAATTCGCACGAGACCACAGCGAGAGCGATTTGCACGATTTCCGCCGAGAACCGCAGCGGCTTGATCCGCACATGGCAAAATCACACAAAGCCCGCACTTGTTTGACATCGACCACGCCGACCCCCGCAGAGGGTTGGTCTGCGCCGTCTGCAAGCAAGTAAGGAACGTCCAGCGAATTTTGGCTCAACAACCCTGCTGTGCCAACGCCAGGAAGGTCCACCTAATCGGCTGAGGCCATGACGATCTGTTGCTGGAGCATGAGAGCTTTGCAATCATGAGTAGTTTGTGCGAGGCAAGCCTTGGCTCTGACCAGACAAGCAGGGATCAGCATGCACACGGTCATTGCCAGCGCATCTCATGCTGCGCGAAGTGGCGGCGGCGTCGCATGGTGGTGCAGTCTTTTTGCCCGCCTATGTTGAACTGGTATGTTGAGACGCTGTCCTCTGGGCCGCGGCCAATTCGGCAATGTGGTGGAAGCGCGGGAAAGGGTGATAAGCAGACGGCTTGCCCCCAAGAAGAGCCTTCTCCAACGCCAGGCGAGGCATGGCGTGTGGACTTCCAGCGGCTGTCGCGCAGCTGTTCTTTTGGAGTTGGCCCCGCGCGGAAATGCTTCAACTTCTTTGAGGAGGGCTACTTGATCGCGCGGAAGGCGTTGCAGCCTTCTTTGCGGCATGCGTCTTGTCTCGGGAGAGAAGAAGTCAAACATCGATACTTGCTCCCAGCGCGCCGCCCCTTTGTGAGCTTGCAACACGGCTCGGCTTTTGCAGCCAGAAAGTGAAAGAGTTTTGGAGTCTTGGAGTTTGGGAGTTTTTGCTTGATTCCCAATTCTGATGCTGCTCTGGCTTGAAGTAACATGCCCTTAAGAGATTGATGCAGACTTACAGCCCGTGCCACAGGTTCAACGAACACCTCCGGCAGTCGGGTTGTTTAGCACCACAACATAGGGAACTCATGTTTGTGCTTGTTCTCGAACCAGATCACACTACGTGTCCAGTTTGGTGTAGGCGTTGTCTTCACTCATGGAAAAGTGGAGCTAAAGTGATTCAGTGTCTCATCGAAAGTTGTCCCGAGATTGAGAAGAATCGCGGGAAGACCAGGATGCAGCACACGCAACGCGTGCATGCAAGAGAGCAGATCTTAGGACTTCACATAGAAGGTGACCAAGAGGTGTTCCATGAACAACGCGCAAGCAGTCCGCACATGTTTGTGCTTGCCCACGGGCAGCGTCGCTTGTTTGACTGGAATTGTCAACGTTAAATGTTCACCGAGCGCAAGTCAGAACGCAAAGCGTGGCAGAACACAGTTGCAGCTCAGCTGCGTCCTTGCATTGAGCAAGGTGAAGCAAACCAACAGAAACCTCAAACCCACCCTAAACCAAGCCTAAGCCCACCAAAACCAGCCCAAGCGCTGCAGCAACCCAAAGCAAACCCTAAGCCAAAACCACCCCCAAACCCGCCCTAACCCTAAACCCTCTAAACCCACGCTACACCAGCCCTAAATGCACAAACCCTGAACCAACCTAAGCCAAAGCTTCTGGGGACGCTAGGGTGTACAGCAGCTGCATTTGGGTAGAACATGCTGTAAAGTACTGCATGCTAGCGCCTGCCGAGCCTAGGAGAAAAAACTGCGCGGCGAACCTAGGGAAGAAAAACTCGTCCGCCTGTGCATTTTGGGCATGTGCGTGGTCGATCCCGTGGGTGGACAGAATCCGCTTCGCACTGTTGGGTAAACAACTGGCGCAAAGCGGATTTGTCCGGCTCATGGTGGGGGATCTCCAATCCAACAAAAACCGAAAACACCCACATCCATGTGGATCATGGGAGGCGCTGGCGCTGCATGACACGCTGCGGCCCAGCGGCTGGCAGCCCAGCGTGCCGCGCTGAGAGCTGTCGTTTCTCGAAATGGCTGTGGGTCAAAAATAGGTATTCCCAGAAAGGAGGGAACCCTGGTCGATGGAAACATGAAGTAACTCACTTCCTGAGTTGATGGACTTTAAACTTTTTGGAAAGACCATTTTAGTGGCAATTATAAAGTTTGAACGTTTTTTGGGCCATCCACTCAGCCAGTGAGGAAGGGAACCCTGGTAGATGGAAACATGGAGTAAAGCTGTGGTCCTCTGGTGGTTTTATGTTTGGCTCATACCCAAAATGGGTGTGTCTCGCCTTTGGTGTGGCGCCCCTGTTTTTGTGGTCTTACGAAGGACAACAAGAAGATCCACACATGTTGTTGGATGGTTCGAAAGGCAGCCGCAATGTGGGGTTGTAAGAGTTGGAACCACCTCAAAAGTGCTTCTCGAACCAGTTGGTTTCCTTAAATGGTATGTAAGACGAAACCCAAAAACATTTTAGGGGCCCCCTAAGATGACAATTCGAGGAAAACCGCCACAAAGATGATGGAAAACTTCTCAAAAGTCATATCAAACCCAGGAATAGTGGTCAAAACCCCCATATACTCAAACAACCAGGAGGAGTGCTGGTGTAAGTCTTTAGGTTCTTTTAGGTAGGGTGACGTTTGCCAGGCGGACATTTTTTGTCTGAGGGTACCCTTTTTGGCGCTTCCTCTTGTGGAGACTCAAGGAAAGGCACCCCACCTGTTTTGGGGTGCCCTATAGAACGGGTCCTGTGAGAGGCGGGCTCCGGGCGCTGAAGTTCCGCAGTCGGTCACCCTACCCTTGCTGTGGTTGCTTTGTTTTGCGCGAGGCGGTGGGCAAGAAAAGCCCACGATGCTCGAACAGCCTGGGCAAGGTGTGGGATTCCAAGCAATCCACGTTGGGGTTCCCTTCTTTTGGGCTTTGTCCCTTGTTCCGGGTTTTTCTTTGAGGTGTAGCGCTTTTTTTGGTTTCCCCTGGTTCTCTTCTTGATTGTTTCGGGCCTGTCTTGCCTCACCTCTCCAAGCATAGGTGTCTTTTTTGGTTGTTTTGGTAGACAAATCGGTGGCCCTGGTTTACTTGGTGGTTTAATCATCTACCAGTGCCATCTATTTCCCTAAAATTTGACACCTATGCTCTCCCGGTGGTTTTTCCTTTTGTTTCCAAATGAGAGAAGTTCAGCGTTCTAGGGGTAAACTTCCCCATTCGTTCCAGGGATCCTTCTTTCTAGAAAACCACCCAAAACCCCGGGGAAATGACTGGTTTTTGAAGAAAATAAAAAAAAACGAGAAAGAAAAAAAAGAGCGATGGCTGAACAGAGTGGACAAGGAAAATCAACCCCTAGAAGCCTGGTCTGGAAACCCCGGCAGGCGGTGACCTACGGGCTCCTGGTGGGCGCTGTGGAGTGGGCCGCGGCCGCGCAGCTGCTCCGCGAGGCGGGGGCCAGTTGGGTCAAGGCGAAACTGGCGGCCGGCGTCACCTCTCGGCTTTGGCGCATTTTCGGGGCTCCTGAAAAGATACATGTTGCCCCGGCTGAAACATGGTTGTTTTTGCCACCAAGATAGAGGGAAACCAAACAGGAGACGTTGCAACAAGCAAGTCGGAGGTTTCCAGGCACCAAGAAGTAGATCGCCACTTGGGAGGCACGAAAATGGCACGCCTTTTCTTTGGTGCATTTTGCCAAGGGATGTTAGGACGTTATCGTTTTACCAACTCATGGGTTTGCCGTATTAAACCGCTAAAAGTTATTTTTTTTGCAGGGGAGCAGAAAGCAAACGAGAAAGAGCGTTGCAACTTGGAAACCCGGTTTTGGAAGGGACGCCTGGCTTTGTCAGGGAGAACCAGGTTTGACACAATTCAACACTCTTGTATTTCTTTGCGCAAACCAGCGTGTCCGGACTCGTTGAGCACATCGACGGTAAAGTCGCCGGGCCTCACCCATCTGGGAGGGAGTCAGCATGGAACAAGGGACCACATACCTATGCCTAGCAAAATATGTAAATATATGCGAGGACTTCGTTTGTGGTCTGCTCTGGGTCACTTTCCTCTCATTCTCCATGCTTTCCCCGTCCTCTTCCCAAAGCACTCAGTCTCCGGACGGCTCCCGTCCCGGCTAGTTGATGCACACTTGCGGGCGCTGAATCGTCCTAGGCTTGAAATTGCTCAGCCAGCGGAAAACATATTTCTGATTAAAGCACTGTTGATACGGTGATGCTAGGGTGTCGATCAGTTTAGCTTACGGACCAGAACAACAGCTATCTTGAGCAAGCGGAAAAATCCTTTCTTTACTACAGCACAGGTGGTGCTAGGGGCGCTCACCGCCGGGTGACTCAACAAAGACCCTCAAAAGCAGACAAAGTCATGTTAAGACCCCTTCCGCCTGGGAGTTGGAGTTGCCTCACTCTCACATCAGGCGAATCCCTTTTGAGCACCACGCGGAAAGTCTCAAGGGCGTGAGTAGGCTAAGCGTAGTTTGCGCTTTATTCTACTGATACACAGCTGGCACCCAGTGTGGCCATTTTTTCCGGTCAAGCCCCCTTGCGCGTACGACATATTTTCCGGCCATTTGTGTATACGACCATACCTGGAAAAGCGAAAAGCCGTATGCAGAGTTTTCGGGCCAAGGCGCATGACCAATAAAATGGGCATAGGGGGTTCCAGGAGAATAGCTATATGTACATGTATGCATATGCTTTCAGCTTCGGTGCGAAGAAGAAAATCCCTTTGCAACAAACCACGTCAAAGTAGCGATGAGTAGCATGTTGTAACTTCTGGTATGCGCAGAAGATACACCAGTCGCTTCGTCCTGGGGCAGGTTCGTCTTGGTGTATGTAAATAAAACATATTGGCAAGTATATCTATATATGTGTAAACACACACATAAACACACGCAGGTCGGTCTTCAAGTATTTGCATATGTGCCCAAACACGCATATGTATATATATATAGTATGCATATATATTTATATGCATATGTATGTGTGTATGTGTATATGTGTATACACACATGTATGCATATGTGTATGCACATGTGTATATAGGTGCATATGTGTATGCACATGTGTATAGATGTATGACATACACGCGCGCGCGCGCACCTCAGGAACGTGTGTATCCCTTTCTGAGGGAGCCGAGGCTGTTCAGGCGGGCGCGCAGAGCCTGCCGCTGCTGAGCGCTGCGGTGAGCGCTTGCGAGCCACTGGGCAACGAAGAAACCGCCTTCAATTCTTGGTGGCTCCCGGCCATCCCCTTAGCTTTTTTCGCTTTTTAGTGTTTAGTGGGATTTTCCATTTAGCCCACTAAAAGTCAAGCTTTTAGCGGGGCATTTGACGGCAGCCCAGAGCAATGTCTGGTTCGGGAGGTGTTGGGCAAGATTTTGGTGATTCGGCAGGCTGTTTGGTG